GTGCGCTGTTAACAGCGGTGACCAATCTCTCGCGGGTAACAAAGTAAATGTAATCGGCGTAGCTTTTGTACAACGTTACGTGACAATACGTATAATCATAGTAGCGGGCCGGTATGAATATTTCATTTGCGGCGGTCGGAAGCGTCACGCTTGGCAATCGGCTTTGCCGAGCCACTTCGAGGACCCGTATCTCGAATCGTGCATCTCCGCGATTCCATCGACATCGCCGCGCGAGGCTCGGGGATAGAAATTACGTTCGATCAACAATTTCCAGTGTCAAATCGCTTTTGCAACAGATAACACCCTGCCCGATCTGCACACGGCAGAAATATACATCAGAAACTCTCCATCGGAACACCAGACTGTCAACTTCGAAGTAAATTGGATGGGAAATTATTGTCTCATTAAACACTGCACCGAGCCGCTTTGTTTCATAATTAACCCTTTCTGCTAAATTGTTACGTCACGTTCCAAAAGTATTTTTATCAAGGTTGTTCGTATTTTAATGAACTGTTCGAGGTGTAACTGTTGTATGAGAGTCACAACGTTTAATTTCGTATACATAAAATGTATTAAGTCGAAAACTATTTCGAATTCAGCGTGTTAAAATGGCTTCGAATGCGAAGGATTGATTAATTATACGATACAGAAAATCGAATCCACAAGGAACTACTATTAAATGAAGCATTTTTGTAGGATTTTACGAAATTTGTTCTTTAAATGAACAATGGGATTTTATGAAGTTTGTTCTTCAAGTGAACAATTTTTCTAGATTTTTATAAAACATGTTCTTTAAGTGACAAACTCTGTTCATCCGTTTTTAATATAACTCGATGCCTAACATGTTTTATTTCGATAAAAGGAAACTTGATTGTTCGATTCAAACAGTAATTTTATTAAGCGAGATACGCACCATCTAACCCCACGCGTTTTCGCTAAAGTGTTCTTAACTAAGAAATACTAACTTATTGTTAGATAAGATTGATAAGAAGTTCCACATCTCGTATAATCAACAGATAATACGCGAATAAAATATTGCATTATCTATCGAGTTGTTCGACGATAAAGAACTTTTGGAACGGCAAGCAAAACGCGGACGTACAATTAGATTAATTGGCTCCTGAGTCATCCATACACGTCTCTACGCTGTCGATTATTTGACGCAACAATCGGACTAAAAATTTCATCGGACTTTCAACAAAAATATAACTTAATAAGCTTATGATCATTTATAATTGTCTTGATCAATTTTCGTTCGATATTTTTTACTTCCGCTACACGCGTTAGTTTTTCAATGGGCTTTAAAGAACATCTTAATGGACTTTTTGAGAACATTTGAATTAATTGTCAGAAACTAAGTAATCAAATGATATCTATACTCTGGGTCCCAATGGACCCGAGCCCTGCCGTCCGAACGTTAAAACCGTAATTTTGATGACGTTGGACTTGTAATTTAGAGGACATCGTGAAGGTAGCGGTGTTCTATATAAGGTGTACACCTTTAAAAATGCATCCTCGCGTGCCGATTCCTCGACATTTTTACTTTTCGCGAGTCACGGAAACCCGGACGGACGGTGATTTTTAAATAACATCCGTCACGCGCCACATTCAGGAAATTTGATTTAATCGGTGGATCTTATCGAGGTAGATCGATGGGATGGGGAGGAGACTACCTGCACCGAGCAGGCAATGCATTTATATTATGTTTGCGAAATAATATCAAACGATACCGGTAATATATCTGAATTACATAATTTATCAAAAAGATCCTCGTTGAGATTCATACTCTAAAGTTCCTTTGTCAAGCTCTGTTGTATTAAAGAGTTTAACAATTTATTAATTCATATCATCATATTCATAGAATAATTTTATCCTTTTATGTAGCTAGACATCGCCGTAAATGTCTGAAGTGTTACATTTAGTTTTGGATTATTGAATCTGCGTTTCGCTCTTTTAGTAATTATTATTTAGACATACAATAGATTGCCATAAGTAGACTGCAGATTGTTATGCTAAATAAACATCGTCTGCATTAATTGCAAGAAAAAGAAACAAAATAGAAAGTCTCACTGTCTTTATTGGCATTTTTCAATTCTTTTAATCTTTCTACTACAATAGAGTCTCGGTTAACCGAACTAGATTTTTCCCGATCTCTATTATTTAGATTTTAGATTATTCCAAGTAATAACGATAAAATTATAGAAGGACCTCGATTAAACCTTGATTTATCATTTTATACTATTGTATTAATAATTCATCGAAAATAAAAGCAAATGAACTATCAATTTTGAATTCGGATAATCGAAGTTAAACTGTTAGTTTTTCATTTCATAAGTATCCGAACCTATGGCACCTAGTTTGGAAAAATGAACACCTTGATGGGCGCTTCCAATCTGTTTGTTTAACTAACCGTTTGTATTTAACTAACCTGTATATTTGACTAAAGTATCACGACTAGAGTTTTAGGATAGTAAATCTGTGTTTCACTCTTTTCGTGCGTCCATTTCAGGAGAAATTGTTTGGCAGGATTCTCTTCAAATATTTAAAATACGATGGCCAGTTTTTCGGATTGGAAGAATCACAGATTTAATATTCTCTCATTTCGTTTGACGTTGGCGCAGTGCAATGTTTTCACGATATTCGAGTACGAGCTGAATCGCAGCATAAGCCAAGATCAAAAACACAAGATTACAAAAGTCGAATTACAGATTTTATGGTCAAAATCCATCCAACACACTTCGAATGTTTGTGAAAACATTCAGTAACAAACAGTATGCCCCGTCTCACATACCACATTTAATAAAATGAAAACATTTGGAAGAGTCGAACACACATTGAAATTTCTGTAATTTTGCTAAATGGAGACGTTTACAAACAGATATACATAATACGTGTGTTCGTGTATCTGTACATTATACACTTGATTTTTAAACATAAAATCTGTATTTAAATCCTTTGATGAATTTCGCTGAATCACGTTGAATAACTTCTCCTAAATAGTCGGTCACAATTCGTAACTTCGTACCGTTTTTATATGTTACCGTTTTAATATGTTATCAAAAGTACGAAATTCATCATGGAAAATCAGACACTGCTCTGGCATAAGCAATGTTTTTAAAATATAGATAGTCAATATAAAATTTAATATGACGATCTTAATTTCAACGGTTTCGGATGTCACACTAGACGTCTTACTTGAAGTCGTGGATCTTTTCAAAGTAGATCTTTCGATAACTATCACAATTTTGTCTCTGACGTTTTATTATAATCAGACTGCGGATTTTATGAATTTATGGCAAAAATGAATGGATGGAATACAATCCTCTAAAATCCTGAACAAATTTTAAAAATACTGTCATATTGATTTTGACATATTAACACAGAAACATTTTATTTTGCAATGAAGATCCGCAGTCTAATTATAATACAACGATTTAATGAAAGATTTAATTAAACACTTAATCAAACAATATTTTGCATCGCTCATATGTGCAAACTTCGTCTTTACAATATTGTATATTTTAATGGTAGAATGTTTTACAAATATTGTCTTTACTTTACTTTACACTTTAGCTTGACACATTAAAGGTAATGCCATCTTTAAGATACTTCGAATGCGAAAGAATTCGTCAACATTGACGGTTCATATATTATTAACCATGCACGATACTTTAAAATTTCAAATAGCATATGATGCTTTATAGTTAAAAATACTCGACTAATATACTCGACTCAAAAATAGCATTTTGGCCAACTCTTTTGGTAAAGATTCCACCGTGCGTTGTCGGTAAGATTTTTCTTCGAACATCGAAAGCATGATGCCCGGTTTCAGAGCATAAAATCTTCGTTCCAGTTTATCAATTGTTGCGACACTAGAATGAGACTGTAGGAATAATTTTCGATGGCGAATAGTTTGCCAGCATATCGCGGAAGTGAATTCCCATTGACTTCCGCGTCCCTGCATAATTCACGGGAATCGATCGGCGCGTAGCCGAGGGATTAAATTAATTTAAGTAATTTCACGATTGCTATCGGCGGGAACATTAAATAAGGCGCCCCGCCTCCCACAGGTGCCCGCGTTTAGATTGTAGATTGCCATGTCAAGCAAACCGACGCGACGTTGGTCACAACACATCGGCAGGATTGTGGCCATCGTTGCATAACTGAGTGGTTATTCATGATGATTGGATGGCCGTCCATTTTACCGGGTCTTGCTCGTACGGTCATTAGGTGCAAAGGCAGTTCCGAGTTCTCGGCATGATCGCTTTACACCGGACTCGTACGAAATTAGCGGAATTACAGTGTCTCCAGAAATTCTGGATTGACGTTGACCGAAAAAAATGGTGACATTTTGCTCGGAAATGGTACGCATTAGAACGGCTGTAAAAACATCGGAGAATTTTTCTCGCGACTTATCTTGGCATAGATTTGAAGATTGAAGCCTCCTCTTTACAATGAACTCCTGAACTTTGAGGTATGATTTTTTATTAATCACTTTATAGTGCTCTGAATGGGGAAGGTGTACTTTACAGTAATACAATACTGATAATACAAACCTGTTCCTCGTTTCTAGTTCACAAAACGAGTACAAAAAAATCGTGCAGCCAGCTTCGACAAGTCGTTGTGCAAAGGAAATTTCAATTTTCTTCAAATCAATGGCAAACTCAATCGTGAGAAAAATTTTCCAATCTTTTTAGAGACGTTTCAATTTGCAGTATTTTCGAGTAAAATTATGTCTCCAGATATCCGCCTGCCGTATCTCATAAAGGCATGTCAGGGAAAGATGAACGTTGCATAGTAAAAGTAGATGATTCAAGCTTTAAAATGAGTCCGGGTTTTTTGTAGAGCGACTCATTTTCACGAAATTATGACAGTGGAAATGTCGTCAATTCGTTGAAATTAGGAAGAGTGAGAGCAGAGACTTTCTAGAGTTATACAATTTCCGGTTGTTCAAAAAATCAGTAATTGGATACTGAACGGCAGAATGTGATCTGTTGTAGGAACGAGAGGCTGAGAAGATTGCGGAGGAGGCGGCGGCCATGCGAGACGTCAAACCGGAAATACAATCCCAGAGAAGTCCTGACAATTGGCAGGGAAATAATTTCTATCGACATCTGAGCGCGCTGAAGGGTAACGCATAATTATACTGTTAATTATACACTAGCAATTTCTTATTAAAGGTGCCACATTGTTCACACACGGATCACGCGAATCTTTGCCTAGATTCATAAATTCACTTTTATTCTGATACATTCGAAGAAATTATATTCGACTAAAACTTTTAGAGAAAGCGAAAAAGTTAATTATTTAATCAATCAGTTTCGATTTTATACATTAACTTACTTTGATTTTGTGAGAACCTGCGAAGTTCGCCTCTTAATCTGTTAAAAGTGTTAACAAAAGAGCATACTAAATTTCTAACTGGAAAATAGCACAAAATATTGTGAAGATGAAATTATTTACTTAATTATCCGCTTACTGTTAGTAAAATGTATTAATCTTTATTGTTAGAAATTTTTTGAACAGTCTGTTCGAGTTAGTTGTTCCAATAATACGAATATAATATTAATTATCGAACATTGAATGGAAAAATACAACACTTCAATTCAATCTTCTATAACCCCTTAGTTGTGTAGACCAATTTTATGGACCGAGGTACAGATTTTATCCTGAAATTATTACAAAATCGCTGACATTTATGTATACATTTCACAGAAATTTTTATTGGAAGATAGTAAAACGAATATTCTTATCATAAGAAGAATATATTTGTTGTCGCGAATATATTTGTTATAAGATGAACACATTTAATATGACAAATATATTTGTTATAAGATGAATATATTTGTTATAAAACGAATATATTTAGTATACGATAAATATATTTGGTGTAAGATGAATATATATATTTCTTGTAAGATGAATATATTTGTTATGAAGAACATACTTGTTATAAGATAAACATATTTGTTCTGTCGAACACGTTTAATACAAGACGAAAATAGTCATTCCTCCCGAATAAGTACACTCATGGTTTATATCTAAGGGGTTAACAGGCACAGTTGTCATTACGACCCTGTTCAGTGTTTTCTCTGACAATTGATAGCTGTAATTAAAAGGACGTATATGCGAGCCGACGATACGTTCGATCGGAAATTTTGTCGAAATTTTGTCGGAAATAATTACCATACGGACCGCAATGGAAATGGTAAACGTCGCTTAGTTAGCGGTTAATTCCCCGGCATTTCTGACCATGCCGACCTAATATTAGTAATTAGTAATTAGCGTGGCACGAGTGGGGTTCACGGGGAGATCGGAGTTTCAATTAATTGGAGTAATTAGTCGCGACCGGAGTGTTAACTGAAAACGGAGGGTTACCTTGATATCAGACAGAGTGGGTGGGTCTTAGAGCTTGTAATAATGCGAAAAGGGGTTGCGGACGGACTCCTCACTGTGAGGAGGCGTGATTCTATGGGACGCTTGCGCGTTTATGCCCACCAGGATTCGAGTATGCTGCGAAAATGGTTTGAACTTGCAAACGCGTCCCTTTGTCGTTGCATCTCCTTTGACTCCGGTCGCCGTTTATTCAATGGCGATGCGCATACGTTGCCTGCAATCCCATAATTAATATCGATAATTCGCTGGGAATTGAAAGCCAAAATAATCTGACAAACGTAGTATTGTAGAAAGAATATTTTATGTAGGTCAACCCTTTATATGTTCGACCGTAATATCGATCTTTCAGTGTACATCTCTTAAGCTGTTCATTAATTAGCTTCCAAAATTGGTGGATTATGAATTGTAATAAATAATATAGTAAATGAAATTGGCTTTCCTATTCATTGTTGAATTGCAAAGAATTGGAAAATTCTTTGAGAAAACGCTGTGAAGGAATAAATATTAATTTATATAGCTCAAGCTTCTTCAAATTACTGGATTGTGCATTTTATTAGAATGATGTAATAAACAAAATTGGCCGATATGTAAAGAGAAATTACTGCAGGCTGATAAAAATATTTTTATACTATTCGATTTGGATCCTGGTTTAAGCCTTACGAATTTTTGTAACAGCTTAAGTTATACAATTATTAGTATACAAAAATTAATAAACAATATTAGCTAATAACAACAGAGAAAAGTATTTTACTAAGATAGAAAAAATTGTTGAAAATATAGTTTTGTATAATTTCAGTCTGGTGAATTGTCTTTTCGATTTTCCAGAAGGAAGTTTTTAAAAGGAAATATGAATCATAATAGTAATTAAAAATTTTAGTAAGCAGACTTATTAATTTCATTTCCCAAAATTATTTAATCGAACAAGACAACTGTTTTTATTAGATAAAAATCTTCTATATTCCGTAGATTATTCGTCCACTTGTCAGGCTAATTAGAATCGATTACCGTGTAAACACAAAAAGCACTGATTTACTCGCGGCGTTAATATGCTCGAAGAATCCCGAATTCGCGGGCGAATCCGCCGAGGCCGATTCTTCTGGCACAAAGATACCAGTTTGCCGGTCGAAAAATCGATCATGACTCTCCTTTAATCATCGTGAATCCAGCGTGCCCGCTAATCTTTTCGTTCATTTCGTTTCCGGCCCGGCCCCGGTTCATTACTCATCCAATTTAAATGAACAAACGAAACGGTTTTTACTCGATTTTGTTTGTCTCGTCTGAATGGCCGGCGAATTTTGTTAATTTTCAACAATGATGATTGCAGGAAACGAACCGACGGAGAGAACGGGAACGGATTGTTCGGCCTGCCATTCACGCGGAATATTTTACGGGCAGATTCACAGTCCGTCTGCGTCCACTAATTAATCGGCGCGGCGAAATATCACAGCGAGAGAGAATGAGAGAGTGAAAGAGAGCGAGAGAAAGCGAGAGAGCGAACGAGAGAGAGAGAGAAAACAAGAAACGACGAGAGAAATATTGAGAAATCGTGGGTGACCGATCAAGGTAGAGAATCAAATGCGAAAAGACATCGTACCGGCTGGCTATTTGCTAAGCACGATGATGAAGATAAATAATAATCTATCTCTCGTGTCACGTGAATGCGGATCTGTTGCAAACAGAGCATTGTCGACGCATCGTCTAATTCAATTTCCGTGGACTCGAAACTGATACAAATATTTTCTACAATTTGCGGCTCGATGGTTGTTTCAATACTCGATAACAATTTGTTTCCTTGTTTCATATTGTTCATACCACTGGTAATAAATTGTAGAACCATTTAAAGAATAAGATTCGGATTTTTAACTAGTTTAATTGTAATATTTGTATCGTAAGTAACGCATATCGTTGTTATGATTCAATACTGAGACAATTGGGTAAAAAAACGTGATTTGGAGATATTCTACTATTTCATACCAAATAATATTGTCTAGATTAAATGTATTTTACTTTTATTACTTCTTATTGTTATCAATACCTTTGAGAATTTTGGTACAATAGTAGTATAACTATCAGAAACCAGGTTACGATTCCTAATATCTACGAAGCATGGATAATGATAACTTCAATATATTATACATTAGTAGGAAATTTAGTGAAAACAATATATCACTATTTTCGAAAATCAAATTATTATTGGTAAAATAAAACTTTAAATGCTTTTTTCTTTAAACTTCATTATTTATACGGTATCTCAATATTGACTCAGAGCAGCGATATATTGAATAAATGACTCATAAATGTATCTCTATTTCGACTAATTTCCACGAATTTCGATGGCCCAATAAGAAGCTGCTCATTTCTCACAGCTCTACATTTCCAAATCGACTAGGTTACTGCAATTCCCTATAACGTTCTCCGAGTTCGCTTAGTCGGTAGCAAACCACAGACCCTCTTAATGCATCGTTTAATCTGAAACTCGAACAACAGAACCGGGCGTTTCTCCGGCGTCTGTTGGATACGAGTTTATCGAGCGTCTGGATTTCAGATTTGCCGCATTCATGGAGCACACGCAGAGACAAAACTGTAAAATAAGAAGGTTGTTCGATCGTTAGACGATTCAACTTGGGCGAACGGTTCGCCGAAGGAAACCGTTCTCGTCGTGTCGTCGCACGAACGCGTTGGCCAGCCGATTACCGTGAAATCGTTCGACGAGTGCTCGACGGCACTCGAGCGAGAAGATAAATGTTTCCGCGGGTGTAATTATCGGACAGGTAAACGCGCGGTAATTATTTTCGAGCTATATCGTATCGACTTGGTCGATCGACGTGGGCGGGAGGGGGGGCAGGGGGGAGGGTGTCTCGTGACGAGAACGGGAAAATTGTAATCGCTATATTTAATGCATCGAGGGGCGCAACGCTGCTTGAAATTGGTTCCCCGTGAGCCGATATACCGTGCAATATACTCTTTACGATTATTATCCTCTTGAGCGAACGGCTGCGCGCAGCATCCTCCGACGCGACGGGGAGGATCTCGAGGAGCATCCTGCGAAAGCATCCTGTCTAGGGGCGATCGTTTATGCAGCCATTACCGGTTCCGGTTGTTCGCGTCGACGCTCGTCCCTCGATCTTATCCCTCGATGATCCTGGAACGATTCTGGAACAATCTTGGAACGGTCCTGGAACACGATCGTCGACGATCGAAAAACGGGAACGCGAGATTCGTCGAGGAGAGACAGTCTGCTTTTCAACATAGGCCGGTGTGTGTTATAAGCACAGCTGTAAGAATACGCCGTGTAGATCGTCGCAGCACTCAAACTAACGTAGTTCACAAGCATGCGGAAACACAATGTGTAACTCAATTAACAATAAAAGATCTTGATCACTGGTGTACCCGTGTCAGTTTCCTTTTCCGGTGTCTCTACCCATTCGTTTCGACCGAATCCCGCGGCCACCATTTTCTGTGCTGTTCCCGCGCCTTCAGATTTTCATTCGCTTGTATCCCAAAACTTTCTTCAAACCCTTGCACTGCGATTTCTTTCGCAACTGTACCGATCAGTATTTCTTCGTCTTTACCCTATTAAGCGGTGAGGTAACTTTCGTTTAACACGTTTCACCATTACAGCCTTATTTCTTCGCGGTGAGAAGTTATATTATCACGCTTAAAGCAATTAAAAAGACAAAATATTTTATGACATATTTAGAAACATATAAAGCAAATGTTTCCAATGTCCCTTAGATGAATCTTCATTAAATATATATTATATGTATGTACTGTTAATTGTTACACAAGTTTCTTTAGTTATATCCTGACTTCCTTAATATACTACAACCTCTGGCGAAAACTATTTGATCGCCTTTTAAAACGTAATAATTTTTTTCAAACTGGTTTAAATTACTTTTTTTTAAGTATTAAAGGAACTACTTTATGGAACAATGACTAAAATATTTTTCTTTAATTTTGCTGTTACGAATGCATGCGTATTTTATCAACAACAATGTTCAGATTGGTTCAGAGTATGATGAAATTGTATCTAAAACGATGCGTCAGTATTGGCATATTTTATAAAGAACAAGAAAATAAAGAGTTCTTAGTGGGTAATAATTTTTCTACGTCAAAGAAAACTTTGTTATTTGTATAAAAAAAGGAAGACGCCTTCTATTTAATAATTAACGAGCAACCGTCTCTAATAGACAATATTTAAAAAATTAAAGTCAATATTTTAAAATTCAAACAATATTTTATTGTTTGAATTTTCAGCCAAAAATTGAATTTTCAGTCTCAGTTTGAACACTGGTGAAAGTAAATTCTTTATCAAGAACAAACGAGCAAAGGCTTTGAAGTGCACACACACATACACACACACACAATAATATTTTATCATACATTAAATGAAACTTTGTTACTTGAATCTGTTTTTTACATCATTGTCATTCGAACTAGTAGCTAAAAGTTGGCTGCATTCGCACGAGGGTGAAAAGTGGAGGATGCAAATCGATGGTAGATTGTCAAAAAGAAACAAATCCCTTTCAATTACTGACGAAACTAGTGTGCAGCATTCTGCACGGTGTAATCTTGGTCGGTGGATATATCCCGGCTGCGAAATCCTCAGGGAGCTCTCCCGCTTGGCACGCAAGGACGCTCCAATGAGCAGAAACCCTTAACGGATACAGGTTCGCAGTCCCCGGACGATCGTCAGCGAAATTTCAGATTTCGACCACATATGGTACTTACGTCCTATCCTGGAAGGCACGCGGGAACGGGAATAAAATCTCTTCGAAATTTCTTCTTCTTACTAATTCACAGACTTTTTCTTCAGAGTCTGCGAATACCGCGGTATCTTAGTTTCATTCCAACCGTGAAAGAATCATTTATAGTCTTTCATAGTCTTTATGCCACGCGATTATTTCTTGTAGGAAATTGCTGAGGATCTTAAAAATGATTCTTTGAATACGGTTGGATGATCTTTGAACGTTTTGTAATATCATCAGAAATACTTGCTGCAAAAGGTAAGAGTTTTGAGTTCAATTATCGTAGTTTTAATCGCAACGATGCTATCGTCAAGGTAGTACGTTGACACTAAAACTACCGTGCCCTAAACGTGACTATTCTATTTTTTTTTCTTCTAACAATGACGAGATTGGATTTATTTAAACTTCCTACCATTGTTATTATAATATATGCTTGAATGAAGAGAAAAAAATCGCAGTAGTTCTAGAGTGTTAAAGTATCGATTTTTCAGGGGTAAGTTAAATAAAAATTTAATCTCGACAGTGGAATACCCTTTTCGATGTTCAGTATCATTCTAAATTTCAGATTTCTTAAAAAATACGAGGACGTTTGTGTTCAAGATATTATTTAGTAAGGTGAGGGTGTGAATATGAGACGCAACTTTCTTTAAGAACATCTCCATCTACACTATAAACCAATTCATAATCCACAGGTCAAACCGTCTGAAAACATATCTTCAAAATATATCTTCAGAAATAATGATTTCTTTTGTTGATGGATTCCCATTCATTGCAGCTCTTTTTATTTTAGGTACATCACCCCGATCTGTCCAAAGCAAGACTCCACTTTCACAAGCTATTAAATAATCATAAATCAAATCATAACAGTCAAAAAATTTCTCTCGTAGCAACTCGAAACTTCTTCGAAGAAAAGTTCGATAAACATCCTCCGAATTTTTACTAACACGCGGTACATATATCATCAAGTTTTGTAGACAAAATTCAGAGGACAAGTAATTTTGTTTGTCGAGAACCAAGTCGGAAGGTCACCCCAAAATTCGATCTGAAAGTGGCTCCTCGTGCTCGTACAATTTATTTGCAAAACAGGCGACGTCGGTAGGAGAAACACAATTGATTATAGCCGATTGTGAAGAGGCCACGTCAATAATAGGCACCGTGGAAAGGAAACATCCTCCGCGGCTAATGTTCCGGCAAATTGGCATCGCGAGCGTAGCCTCCGTCGCCTCTCGGGAGGAATCTACAAGTGCCAGTGGATTTTCTTCGCGCCGATTTTTCCCGTAACTACCTCACGTCCCGGCGATACAGGTCCACGTGCCGCCATAAAGGCCGCAGCTCCGAAAACGAGAAATATTTGTATAAGCTCGAGAATCGGATTCATCATCGGATCGTCGGACCGACGAATCTTTCACAATGACGAGTGCCGCGATTTAGGCAAAAATGCGTAGGACAATTCTTTCCCTTTAATCCGACAGATTTCTACAATTAATCGTAACAATCACGAGTAATAAATCGATGAAAAATATTGAAGGGCTCGGAAATCAAAGGAGAATCCGTCGACTTGGTATAATCGTAATAAGATCTTCCACAGATGTTTTTCTGATTCTGATGTGACCTCATCGGAAGCAGATTGTTCGACTAGATCATAAATGATCGATCTCAATTCAATTATTCGCAAATTAATAAGTATGATAAATTAAAATGTCTTGAAAAACACGACGGAAATCGGCGTTCTTGTAATGTCAAGTTGGGTTCGTCGACAATTTCATAACAACTTCGTAAATTATAACACCGATTTTATGCGTTTACGACAGAAGCGAGTAGACCAAACGCGAACAAATAAAAGCACATCAATAATTTCTGGGTTGACGGTATCATTTCCAATTGAAATGACAAAAAAAATGAAAAGATAGATTTACAAAGAATTTATTCAATATTGTATCATTGGACATATACTATAGCAAAAATTGTTAAAGATCTGAATAAATATATGCTTGTTATCTTTATGAAGCAACGCAAAATAGCTGCTTTCGGTGCTGCAATGATTTTATCAATTCTGATCGATTTTAATAGTTCGGATATTAAAATTAAAATGTTAGCGATTTTATTACAGGCGAAACAGATCGGTATTATTTGTACACTGAATGATAAAGTTGAAAAAGTAAGAAGATTTCGCGACCGTATCGGCAATCATTATTTCGACCATGGCGTCCTTTGTGGAACGCAACCCCGAAAAGAATCGTGTTTTGAACCGCGCGGGAGCATAAGCACAACTTTCAGTGATCTGCAACGGTCTCGGCAAGCTGTGTATTTAAAGAAACATTTTAATTGCAGGGGGTAAGCCGCTTACCCGTCACCCCCGCCACCCCCGTCGCCCCCGGTCTTTGCCCCCCTCTCGTGCATTAGTAAAATCGACCCTCCTCTTGCGGGACGCGGAGCAACGACTGTATTGTACCTATCTCTGCGAGAAAGTAATTCGACTTTTCATTTCGAACGAAGGAAAAGCCTGCCGACAAGTTTTCCTCGGCCCCGAGAACAGAGCAACAATGGAGGATGACTCAGTGCTTACGTCGACGGGAGGGGTACTATCGACAGAATTGAAAGACAAATTACATCAGAATCTCCGCGTTCAAAGAATCCGCGGAACATCGTTGGTTTATAGTGCTTCGCTGCGACAAGAATCTCGTGTGACGTGCAAGCTTCGATTTTCGTATAAATTGTTCAGCGATAACTTCGATTTCTTTTAGATTTCCTCCCTAAAAATTTAGCTTTATTAGGAATTAGATTGTCGGCTGTTTTATATTGCTTTTGAAGAGTTATAGAATATTGTTTTCCTTTCGAATCGCAGGGTTGAATTGTCAATCATTTCTAAAAATAAATGTCTATCTGTTATGAAGCGGTTATACCATTTGTCTGATTATAGATGTTAGTCTACTTGTCTGATTGTGAATTTTATACCACTTGCCTAATCATAAACTTTAGACTACTTGTCTGATCATAAATTATATGCTACCTGCCTGATCATAAATTATATACTACTTGTCTG